ACTTTCCAATTTTTGTATTATGAACAATGTATGACTTAAATTCTGCATTCAATACAATATTCATAAAATTTAGGGTTAAAATTACACATCAGACAAAAAGGTGGGAAAATAGTACTTTCCTTCAGATCTTTGGTCTTTTGCTTGCTAACTTTATTCCTCAGGCTTACTGTCATCAGATGTTCAAGTTATTATAATAAGGAAATATCGTTCCTTCTCCTTCTTCCATTTTCTAATCTGTGTTCTATCAGCTGCAGTACCAGCAGTGTAAATAGGCTTGACAGCAAATCAGGACCAAATATAAAAACATATTTATGTGATTTCTGCATCCATCCATCCATCCATCCATCCATCCATTATCTATACACCGCCCAATCCTCACTAGGGTCGAGGGGGGGCTGGAGCCTATGGCAGCTGTCTCAGGGTGAAGGCAGGGGACACCCTGGACAGGCTGCCAGTCCATCACAGGGCCACACCTGGAGACAGACAACCAAGCACACTCACATTCACACATTCCTACGGACAATTTAGAATCACCAATTAACCTCAACATGTTTTTGGACCTTGTGGGAGGAAGCCTGAGAACCTGGAGAGAACCCACACTGCATGGGGAGAACATGCAAACTCCACGCAGACAGATCCCAAGTGTCCTTACTGGGATGCGAACTGGCAACCTTCTTGCTGCAAGGCAATGTTGCTAACCACAAGCCACCTTGCAGCCCCTGATTTCTGCATCACCAACTAAATACATGTCGGATTCCCATGGCAAAATGATGTACATAGTGTGCAATACTGTAACTGCATGGCTTCATTCAGGGATATTCGTAATGCAGATAAAACACATTACCTCAGCTGAGAATCTGTATTGCTCATAGAGAATTGTCAGGAATTGATTTGGCTAAAGGGAGATGTAAATGTAAATGCGAAATTCTGAACATAACCTGCTCCATATCAGGTTAGCTCCACAGCATAGGTTACCATGGAGATCGAGAAGGGTAAAAGAGAGCCACCTTTGTGACACTGAAAACTCTGACTTTTGGCTCAACATACCTCATTAACCCACTGACCTTGCCTCCTAGTACAGCACTCTGGTCTGATAGTTGTGTTGTGTCATTTGCAGAACAATCTGGTATGAGCTGCAGACTGGAGACTGGCAGATCACAAACCAGCCCGTGGAAGCTAAAATCTGGCTGGTGGGCAGCAATGAGGGGATTAGGAAGGTGTTGGCAGAGGCCAATCTGGGCAAAGAGATCACGGTGAGTCTGATTTTGGAAGATCAACACCTATGAAACAACTGGTAATCCGTCAAACATTCCAAAACATGCTGCCTCTTAGCCTATAAAATGTGCTTAATTAAACTATAACTGTTAAGGTCCTGCAAAATGACTGGCTCAGTACCATTTAGACAGAAGTGAAAAAAAAGGGGGGAAAAAAGCATTGTTTTTATTCAAGAGAGAAGTTACTCCTTTTTGACAATATTAGGGAGGATTTTTTATGAATTTCATTGTATGGATCCATACTGTTGTTAACAATTTAATTATGGTTCCAGCTATAGTTCTATTTATTATAATTATATTCAGGTCATTATGGAAGGCAACAGGGGATGCTAATTATAATGTTAATATAAACTTGAAAATCAAAATGCCATTCCACAATAGTCTTATAAAGTCAGCCATAGGCTTCCATATTAGTTTCTTGAAGGGAACCTTTTTGTTTTTTTACATAAAATCATTCCTGAATTATGACGCTAAAACAAATAATTCTGCATTTTAAGATTTACTTGGCAATTTTTAGTTCTTATGCAAAAATATGTACTATGAACTAAGTTTATGCTCTAGACTTAGTATCAAGGTTCTGAAAAACAAGAACTGAAGTTACAGATTATTGTGTGTGATTGAATCAGCTCTCAGTAGGCTAGCAGCTGTATTTAAGTGCCTAACTTAGAGTTTAGGTTCATTTACTGTATTTAACTCATCACTCCCTCTCTAATAGTTTTGTAAGACTAATTGCATTTATGTATTTCTTTTAAATCTGTGTTACCTGCCAGGCTTTGTGTAACACAATTCAGTTATGGAGCATCTTTGGGAACTTCAAAAAACATTATGTTGCATTAAGTTTTTCATTTACATCAAAGTCCTGGTCAGTCACAGTCGGGTTTTAAAGTAAGTCAACATATTTGATCAATAGAAGTCGAAAAATCCTGTTTTACATATTAATCCTCTTTGTTCCATCCCAACAGGAGATCCTGTCTGCCTGCTGGTCCTTCAAGGCAGACGACAGGCCGACTTTCACGCATCTGGCAGGCATGCTGGACAGACTCCCCAAACTCAACCGTAGGCTGTCTCATCCTGGACACTTCTGGAAACCCACAGAGTATGTATCATAGAAAGAAAGAGTTTTCACAGTCCGACGTGAACCCGCCTGCAACACCATTTACAACATTCAAAACGGGAGTATGCATTGTTTCATTTGGTCAAAACGTGTTTAAATCTACATTTTTATTTCATGAAAAGAGAAATTATATGAAGCTAAAAGAACCAAGTCACCAAATAAAAAATGCTGTAAATAGTGTGTAAAAAAATGTGAATGTTACGAAGTTGTCCTATTGTGGATCAACTAATATCAATGGTCATTTCTAATGTGACTGCTATTTTGTATTTTGGGGAAAGGTCTGGTTGGACTCAATTTTTTGTACTCAAGGATGGTGTTTTAGATGCTCCCTCCAAGTTTCCTTCATCTTATTTTCCCCCAGACATCTTAATAGTTTCTCACAGTTTGCTATCTCTTGGCTCCTGCGTTTTCCTCCCTGTCTATGCTTCTGTTTCTCTGTCTGTTCATTTGCTCACTTGTTTTCCATCATTCCTGATTTCTGTCTTCTTACTCCATTCTTTTCCTGGTGAAGGTCGTGGGATCATCATCACTGCCTGAGAGATCACTGCCATCAGGGCCTACATGCACACTGTCCATACATGTACAAATACACCAGCTGAGACGCACAGGTGCTCCTTACAACCGAAACCTCATTTATACTAGAACAAGCAAGTGCGGACAATATTGTCAAAAAAAACGTTTTTTCAGTGCTTTTGTATTTTCAGCTGGTGTTAACGTTTATTCTGTCTTCTTGTTACCTTCAGTCTATATGCAGCGTGATAAAATCGCCACAAAAATGTTAGGCAGGCTGAACTTGTGAACTTGTGACACATGTATGGACTACTTTTCAGTACTCTTGCTCAGTATCACAGTGTAACTTCAGATGTAGAATGGAACACATCAATGGCAGAACATATAGTTATATGACGAACAATAATCGCTGGGCTGCAAGGTGGCTCTGTGGTTAGCACCGTTGTCTCGCAGCTAGAAGGTCGCTGTTTCAGGTCCTGGTGAGGACACCCAGGATCTTCTCCCTGTGCAGCGTGGGTTCTCTCCGGGTTCCCCCCACAAGGTCCAAAAACATGTTGAGGTTAATTGGTGATTCTAAATTGTCCGTAGGTGTGAATGTGAGTGTGCTTGGTTGTCTGTCTCTAAGTGTAGCCCTGTGATAGACTGGTGACCTGTCCAGGGTGTCCCCTGCCGTCACCCTAAGTCAGCTGGGATAGACTCCAGCCCCCCCTGTGACCCTAGTGAGGATTAAGTAGTGTATAGATAATGGATGGATGGATTAATCACTGCACCACATGTCAGACACACCACAAAGACAGAAGGAGTAGTTCAGATACAGTGTGCTCATCCATAGACTCATGTAGTAAAATTACTGTTTTTCTGGGAAACCAGACGGAGGCCCATCGGCCAGTGTAGCAGATTTTTGTCAGTCTACTGTATGTACGTTGCCGACTGGGCTCATGTGTGGCTTTTTGACAGAAAGCTTGATATGGGTATATTTGCATTTATTGCTTCATTAACATACATTTGTCCTTCTAAATGTATTGTTCATGCACAGGCTTCTCATTAACTCTAAGTTTAATTTGACTGGTTCTCTCTGCAACAGAGATACTTTTTTTAAAATTCAAAACAAAGCACAAGAATAACAGTCTTAGAATCTAAAGAGTTAGCTAAGGGCTTGCACTATAGTTTTAATAGACACCAAAAATGTGTCAGCTTACCACTAATGTACTAGTGTTCCATGTTTTAATGTAGCTGAATTCCCAATACAGTTCTTCTCATTTACAGTTTTTGTTTCTGCTGTCATTCAGCAGACTGAGCATCAAAGCTGGTTATGGCTCATTAATGCCTGTAGTGTAATTACTCTAGAAGCAAGAAAAGCTTATTGTGTTCAAACATATCATGGTAACACATCTAAATGAGCTGCTGTATTTTTTCTAGTAATACACAAATGGTGATGGCAAAACAGCCCTAGTCACATTAATAATTGTCAACCATTATTCCTGTCTTGAATCATTTGCAGTAGCAATGCTTTTTACCGTCATAAATGTTTATATTCTTCATAGCTCCCCATTAAAACAATAAGTTGACTGAGGTAGCTGTACGCGATCATTTCATTTTGTGGCGGAAGAAGAGTCACATGATGCGTTAAAGGCCTCCTTAAATGTAAACACACAAAGAGTTTGATGTCAAATTCTGAGTGAGTGCACGTATCTAAAAATATAAATACAAAACAAGACCACCAAAAAGCATCAACACTACTTCATTCCACAATACAATGCTCCACGTTGCATGGATGGAAAAAATGACCATTGTGCATTTTACAGCTGTCAGTGACAATTTAAAAAAAAAGAAAAGAAAAGAAAGTGTTCAAAAACTGAATTTTCTGCTCAGTTTTGAGTGTTGATTACATGGTGAATGGATAAACGATGGAGGGATTTCAGATGCAGCTGAATACATTAACACTAAAATGAGTTCAGCCTCGCTTTAAATCCAACCCTGCTGAACCTTTACTGCATGTCATTCTCCTGCTGTGTTTTTCCTGCATTTTGTCTTCTTTTATCTGTGTCTACATAAATCTACATGCAGACTGGTTACCAGTTTCCATTAACCTGCAAACGTGTCCGTCAACTGGGGGTCTCCACATTTGTATTCTCTGGTCTTCTACGAATGTAAATCTTTGTATCTGTCTGTATGTCAGTGGACAGACAGCCTCACAGCTGTTTGGTTCATCCTCATACTTGGAAGGCTGCTGGTTTCAGCTCATACTAATTAGAAGAGGTAAAATAACTTTTATTCCAAGAATGCCAACAGGAAATTTATATTTAAGGGGCTATTTATTCAATTTGTGGGTGCTTTTAAGGTGTTGTATTTTTCTCTGTATTTGTTTTCTGCCTCCTGTACAGATATGTACAGTACAGTGTCCTGGTTACTTTGGCTAATCCACAGAACACACTATCGAAATGAAAACTTTTGACAACTTAATCTGGAGATGAATACATTTGGCAACGTGACTCTACTAACTGCAGTGCTGTGTGGTTACTCAGAATACCACTTGGCTCCATATTAAAATGTCCACAATGACTAATGGATGAATTGCCATGAGGTTTTGTTCAGGCATGCATGGTACCAAGAGGATGACTTGCAATAACTGTGCCGATCTAAGTTTTCATTAAATGGAAATTGCATCTTTAAGTCAAAAATCAGTCTCTCCAGGACTTTAGTTCATGACCAAATGCCTGCAAAACTAAAAGATGTTCCCTTCAGCCTCAGCTGGACTTTGTGTTTAGTGCTAATGAACAAAGGTTAGCATGTTATCACAAAGCTTAAACTAGGACATCAATAAGGACAGCCTGATATATGAAATACATATCAACAACAGGATCACACCTGCTACATATTAGCATGTTAGCATCGTCTCTGTCAGCATGTGGGCATGCTGACAAATGCTTAGCATTTAGTGAAAAGCACTGTTGTACAAGTACAGCCTTAATGCGCAGTTATTGTCAAGTTCAGTCCTCTGAGCACCACAAAATTGGTTAATCTTAGAGAGAGATATCTGTGCACCTGCAAGACTAAAAACAAATATGTTGGGGAGATACCATAAGAGGTATTGAGAAACTATGCATTTTTGTAATTTGGGCAAACTGATCTTCAGAAAAGTGTATCCCCCAAAATATGGAAAAATACTCTGTATTTATTGCCGTATTTTAAACAAGATAGTCCACCCTGACCCCTGCAGTTATGAACATCAGGTGACTTTTTGCAGGCTCTTCACCACAGTGATGGGACACTGCAGTGAGATATCTCGTATTACAATCATACTTGATACAAATGTAGGCATTTATGTCGAGCTGGTCCTAAAATACCGTTTCTTAGCGCAGCTTTGGCTTTGTGTTTTAAATGATCAGGCATCATTAATGGGGCAAAGGGCAAACCACTAATTCATACCTCCAGCACTGACATATAAGGAGAGCTAGCGGTGAACTTGTATTTGCTCAGTCTTACTTTGACTTCTGGCAGCAGAACAGTGAGTTGGGGGACAATACTGTTTCGTTTTGTTTTACAGCAGGAAAACAAGTGAGTGTCTCTATCTGTGCACTCTTGCATTGTGTCATATTAGTGAACAGGATGTGGCTACTGTGTTCGTGTGTTGTATTTCCTCAGGCAGGAATAAAATCTTCACTTACTGAATGTGTCTGAATGTAATGGGCTTCACCAGAACAGTGTAATGCAATCAAACACGATCCAAATGTGACCTAATGCATTATTTAAATATGTTATCGTGCTGGAGATTGTATTTAACTCACAGTGTCCATGTTTGTGCTAGGGTTTCAAGCATTTTAGTTGGTACTTAAGTCATATTTATGCAGATACTGTGGAAAGTGTTGTTAGTGGATGTATGTGTTTTTTCTTTATCCTTTTGTATACTTTTGTTTTTCCTTTTTCTGGGGGATGGGAGTGATCTGTAAATTGTTTTGTACAGGATGTGTTGATACTTTGTAAGCTTCTGGCCTGAACAATTGAAGACATTAAAGCTGATGTCATGCTTCTAACTGTGCTCTATTTTCTTATAGAATCAGTGTTTAAGCAATGATGCAGATCACAATAATATAACCTAGTTATGCAGTCATTGTGGAGACAGTATTGTAGTATACAATTACTGTTTGCATACTTTGTCATGTTAGAGCTTGAATATTAAATGAAATTGCCAGTTTACCACCAACCTCCACTCAATACGCCATAATGACAAAGTGAACGCATGTTTTATTTGGGTTGTCAAAGCAATAATAACAAACTAATGTAATCCCACTTCAACACTGTTTAAAAACGAGTGCCATTTATCAGGTATCATTTGAAATAGTGAATGTATAGTTTTCCTGACCTATGCTCCATTCCAGTTGCTGGTAATACACCATAGTGTTGTTTGCTAACTTCCATAACAATTGAGAACAAGGAAAGTGCAGGCTCTGTTTTACCCTATTAGTTTCCTCTAGTTTCAACAAAGGGAACTTGCATGTCAGAACTTTACCAGACAGCTCATTTGACAAACTAAAACTGTGTGCAGTTACTGTAGACTGAGTACATCCAGCCTACGTTATCACATGCAAACCAAGCACATATCTAACACCACCAGCCCTGTTAATATCCAACAAACCACACTTCACAGTGTTTGGCAGAATATAATGAACATGCCAGCTTCCAGCAAATAATTGATAGCAGTTATTAAATGGATCACCACTGCATGCAGACCCATTTGCATCGTGGAGGATGTGCAACACTATTTGGACCAACAACTTCATTTAAAGACCTGATTGATGGAGTATTGCTAAGATGGTCATTCTAGGATTTGGACTCCAATGAAAATGTAGACACATTTCAAGAGTAATTAAAGCAAACAGGATCAGCTACAGCGAAGGATCTGAATGCTTTTGTCAATGCGAGATTTCATTTTTTCATGTTTAATACAAGGCTGCAAGGTGGTGCAGTTGGTAGCACTGTTGCCTCGCAGCAAGAAGGTCGCCAGTTTGCGTCCCGGTGGGGGCACCGGAATCTTTCTGTGTGGAGTTTGCATGTTCTCCCCGTGCAGCGTGGGTTCTCTCCGGGTTCTCCAGCTTCCTCCCACACAGTCCAAAAACATGTTGAGGTTAATTGGTGATTCTAAATTGTCCGTAGGTGTGAATGTGAGCGTGCTTGGTTGTCTGTCTCTAAGTGTAGTCCTGTGATAGACTGGTGACCTGTCCAGGGTGTCCCCTGCCTTCACCCTAAGTCAGCTGGGATAGACTCCAGCCCCCCGTGACACGAGTGAGGATTAAGCAGTGTATAGATAATGGATGGATGTTTAATACATTTTTACAAAATTTCAAAAAACATGTTTTCATTTCCAAGGTGACTCGGTGGTTAGTACTGTTGCCTCGCAGCAAGAAAGTTGGCATTTGCATCCTGGTGAGGACATCCAGGATCTTCTCCCTGTGCAGCGTGGGTTCTCTCCGGGTTCTCCGGCTTCTCCCCACAAGGTCCAATAACATGTTTTTAAGTCATTATCAGTTGTCACATGTTTTTGAGACTGACAGTCTTAAATAAACTAAATCATCTCAGTGATTTACAGTCCAAATAGCCTGTTCTAAATTACCCTAATTGTTTTGCTTTTTAATATACGTATGTATATTGTTTTTGTATAATAACGTATATAAATAAGGGACGTTATCAATATTAGGATTGTAGAAAAGTTTACAGCACTAAAAGTGTATCCTGGGTTTGTAATATTTGACTGAGTGTAAGTGAGGCTTAACTTTGCTGAAGCACTAGAACAAGCATGTATAGAATATAGACTGTGTCCAGTGTGGAATAAACGAAGAGGAAATCTAGTGGGAACAGAAAACTTCTGCTGTGTTTGAGCAGAAGTATTTAAAACTGAAAATACAGACACTGACCTAAAAAGGTGTGTCACACTTACTGTTACTGCTTTGCCTTTGTCACTTTGGCAAAACATCAGTGGAATATAGCGTTTTACCTGCTGTTGAGTCATTTTCTTTTATCTTTATCCTTGACTGCGCTGGTAACTGGACCACACACACACACACACACACACACCATAGTTTGCCATATATAGCTGTTTCCTATCTGCAGTTTTGAAGTTATTCCCTGTGACCTGACAGTAAAGTCCGGTCGTGTGAGTCACATGACAAGTTACTCATCAACCTCACAAATACAACGACTTTAACTGTCATATGCTGGTGGACACAGAAGTGATGTTACCATTCAAAAACCCAATGTGAGGAAAAGCTACAATATTGAAATATATACTCTATTAATAAAAGTCCTGCATGCCAATATGTAAATATAAGCTAACTATTGCACATATGTAAAGACAATATATGCAAAAAAAATTATTATTAAACAAAAGTAGTCATTGGGTAGAATATCCCCCAATGTTACAAAATGCAATTACACATGATGATATTTCCTTTCTTGTTTATTTACTTCCTAGCTGTCTAATCACAGAAAACCTTATGCAGTAGTTTAGATTACCATCTAAAGGAACTGAATACCTTAGACCTGTTTGGAAAGCGTTCATGTTCATAGTCCTTAGTGAAGTAGATAATCGTTCACAGAAACCACATGATTCGCTTCCTTTTTTGACATTCGGGGTTTTTCCAACCACAGACCTGTGTACAAACTAACCTCACGCACCCAGTGTCATGCTCATGTATAGAGTAAGTGTGGGAATATGTAAGGCAAGAAAGCTTTAAACATCATGTACTGGGTTCTTTACACAGAAATGATGCAAAATTAAATTAGTAAATTCTTCTTTTTTTCCCCTCCTTTTTTCACTTTTGCCACATGCACAGACATTTCTTCTTCTTTTTCCTTTTACTAGATGAGTCATTGCAGGAATTCAGTGAAGACAAAAACAACATGTTGGAAGCTGCTGGTCCTGGCTTAGCACTGTGTCCTGTTGTACACGTCTGTGTGCTGGAAATTTTTCCATTAAAGATTGGTTAAACAAAAAAACACAATGCAAGAGGGTTTTGTCCAGCAGCCTGGACATTTTGCAGTGAGGTTTTCTACCTTGTAGGTGAAATTCTTTCATTAAATTGTATTTATTTTTCTGAAAATGACATCTCAGAGTCCTAAAAATGTCCTTGAGGTGCGCAATTCATTACCCAACTCTGTCTTTATAATTTTAGTCAAAGTATACATAATGTATTCTTCACATACCATCTGTATTAGAACCTTACAAGTATTATGTAACTTCAGTGAATCAAAAACAACAAAGTTAATTGTGAGCTCTTTAGTAATAAAGTATCAAAAACAGTATAAATCTATGCACATACTAAATTACAACCTTTAATTTTCATTTATGCCAAAATGTCCTTTTGTACTGTAAATTTCATTATATTTTTATACTGAAGACATGTTTTGAGCAAAATAACATTATTTTGTGTTTGCCATTTTGTTTCCTATCCTTTTCGCTGCCTTTCAGGGTTAAACACCGCCTACTGTACTGGAATCGAAACCTATCTGTGGAGTAAGGGAGGATGTTGTAAAAGTTCTCCATTTCGTGTTGGAGTCCAGCGCACAGACACTGCAGCTCAGCAATCTACACCTCTCAGCTCAGGATCATGGCTTTCAGTCAGCAGTCACCTTTTTACAACCCAGTAAGTAACGATAACTTGAACATTTTTGCGTGCATTTTCTGAGAAATGATGTGTTGCGTTCCAGAGCGCTGGGTGGGCCGCTACTCTGCGCCAATCCTACACTCAGGAGCGGAATGCAGACAGAACCACGGAGCTGATTCTGACAATCTGAGGCTTCTCTGCTGATTGGCTGTTTCAGAAGGTCGTGTTGTGTGTTAACTGTATCCTGATGCCCTGTCCTTAAGTCGTCTAATGCTCACTTCAGCAAACAGCTCTCCTATCAGCCTTACGTGCGGACTCTTAATTATCAGAAGTGACGTTGGTAGAGTGGCAGAGCCGTGACCCAGCAGCAGGCTGGCCGCTGCCTCATTAATCATTGACCAGCAAAGCGAAGTAAAACTTTTTTTTTCAAAGTAAAACAGCGCAGAGAACCATGCGCCTGCATAGACAGGAGCGCAATATTCGCGAGCGCCAAACCGTCCGCGCGAGGCAGCAGTAGTGTTGCTTCACGTGCACGAATGGTGCTCCGCGGGCACGAGGCTGGAACGAGCGCGCGTTTCAGCCTTCCCACGCGCTCCTCGTTGCTCAACACTCGATCACCACGTAGAGCTGAGGAGGTGAATTCGGGACGCTGACCCCGCCTGGGTTTCAGCCGTTCCAGGCACTTTAGCACCGTTCGTCGACTCCTCCTTCTTTTGTAGAGATATGAGAACTTAACTGTCCAGTTAGACTTCTGGGGTTGACCAACCAGGCGCTGCTCGACGATAAACAGAGGAGATGCTCCTAATCTCTGAACAGTGTCATTTAACAACATTTTAAGTCACTGCTGAAGACTCACTTCCTGTTGTTGACATCTCAGACACTCTTATCTTATCTTTAATCGTGGTGTATCTTTTAGTTTTCATTGTTTCATCCTTACTTTACTCTGATTTGACCATGACTTGTTGTGTTTGTCTTATGGGTTGTACGGGTGTATTCCACTTCACTCTGACAGTGATGGAAAAAGTGCTCAGATCATGTACTAAAGTAATTATACCACCGTGTACAACTGGTCTGTTTAAGGTAAAAGTCCTGCATTCAGGTTTTTACTTCAGTATGAACATCAGTTACAACTAGGCACCTTGTGAATTTTCTCTGTGGGGATAAATAAAGTTATAATCTAATAAGACATCACTGCGGGGCATTCCATCAATAATTGACTACATAATTATTTGTTGTTTATATTTTTTGTATTATTATTTTGAATATGCACAGAAAATAGTAATTTAAGTTATCAGATAAATGCAAAATAGAAAGTAAAATATTTGCCTCTGAGCTGTTGTGGAGTAGAAGTTAGAAATGGCAGGAAGTGGAAATACTTCAGTACCATCAAGTAAAGAGCTTGATTAAATGCACCGAGTTGCTTTACGCCACTGCCGTGTGATCTGTTTATATAAATACCTGAGCATGCTGTTTGCTTGTTAAATGATGTGTGATGTTATTTAATAAGGGTGTTTGTCACACGTCGTTTAGTCGTTGTTATCGCTTCGACTAGATAAACTACATTTTTGCATGTTACATTAGAATTTCTCACTTTACCTTGAAACAGGGAACTTTTGTTACTCTAGTCAACTGTGAAGAACAAAACAGACACTGTCAGTGTGAAATCAGAATCAGAAAGCATTTACTGTCATTGTATGCCAAAAACTCAAAGCGAAACAAGAAGTGCAACTCCCTTAGAGCGTGAAAACGTGGACACCCACTCATGCGTACACCACAATCAGCAATGGCTGTCTTAAAAAGTGACAAAAAGATAAAAAAATAAAAACTAAATACGAATAAGATCAGTCAAGATTGCAATATTGCTCTGAAGTGCGTTGTAATTAGCAGCAGGCTGGCTTTGATGAGATGTGAGCCCCGTTTCTCAAAGCACTTCACAATGATTTCAGTGAGTGCAACTGGTCTGTAATTGTTCAGGTCCTTATCAGCAGCTGTCTGCTTTGGTACTGGCATAAGAGTAGCTGATTTTAGACAGGGTGCAATGATGGCCTGTGTCAGGGAGGTGTTAAAAAATCTTTGTGAAGACCCTTGCCAACTGCTTCGCACAGACTTGCAGCACCTTGCTTGGTACCCATCATGTCCAGCAGCCTTCCTTGGGCAGACTGATTTCAGCACACCTCACCGTGTGTTACTGCAGAGTAGGGTGTGGGTGTTAGAGGCTGGTGGAGGCAGCAGGTCTGTTGCAGTTCCCCCTGGTTGCACAATTCACATATTGAAAGAAGCTGGGGACTACTGTGCTTAAGCACACTCGATTAATCAAGTCCCTACTGACGTGCATTCCATCAGAATGTTTGCGCTGCTGTTCGTTCACAATAGCCAGTGTATGGGTAAGAGCAGTGCTAACATTAGCATCAGGAGGGATGTAAACAGTGGTAATAGTCATCACAGTTAGCTCTCATGCTAAGTTGATGGGTCTGCAGAGAATTGACAGGGCTTGTAGGTCAGGAAAAAGAAGGAAGACAAGGTCGATGTGGCAGCTTCCTTAGCCCAGCTAGTTGGCCTGATTGGCATCCCCGCTTCTGTTTCCTCTCTCACCACTGTCTCTGCTGCCTCCCATCTCCGATAACATCCACAGAGAGCACGGTGATCTGGTGATATCTTCTGGAATGTTGTTAGTTGTCTGAAAGGCTCTTGTGATGGCCAAACTACACCATGGTCCAAGGTTGATTAGGTCTTTCTGTCACGACTGGTGCTGGAACTCAGGTTTGGACACAAGAGCAGGTGGAGAACACACAAAAGGTTTTTTATTAACAAAGAAAGTAACACAGACTAATACAGAAAGGGGAAGCTAGGCTTAGGGGAATACAGAACTGGAGTCCAAACCTAATTAAAAAAAGGAGTTTAACTACAAAAACCCAAGAAGAACTAACAACAGAATAGGAATCTAAGGAAAACTAATATGAATAAACTAAAGCTATACTAACAAAATGGATATACTCATGGGGATGAGGAAACTAAAATACAGGGGCAGACAGGTTTAGGGAATCGGGGTACAGCAAGATGAGCCAGAGCTAGTGAAGGCTGATGAAATGCTGGAGCTGGGCTGGCAGCAGGTACAACTAGGCAGAGGCTGAGGCACCGCCATCTGGGAATCACACATGTTTGTGCATATGGTTAATATAGTCAGTAGCTGCAGCACAACTCACCAGTTGTTTTATATGGTACTTTAGGTATATTTTGGTGTGAAAACTTTTGTACTTTTACTTAAGTAAAAATTTGATTGACTGACTATTACTTGTGAAGGTATCCCCACACTATGATATTGTTACTTTTACTGAAGAACCAGATCTGAGTGTTTCTTCACCACTGTCAGAGGGTCAGAGACGGACTTGTGACAAACCAATCAAAGGTGTTGTTATCAGCACGGCTGTTTGCAGAGTGTCTGTATTCATCACGGACTATTTTTGAAAGATCAAAAATATTATTCAGTTGTCATTTTGTGTTACTTATTTGTTACTTTTTTAAAAGCACTTGTGTATGGTAATGATGATGTATGGTCATGCAGTCCAGTATACCACCACCAACCACAAATGAGGCTTCAAGATTGGGCTAAGGAACACCTAAAGACAGATATTTCAGACAGATATATAAGAAGATATTTCCAAGGTTTTATCGAAAGGTAAAACAACAGTCTCTCTCAAAGGAGCAGGTTGATGTGCCAGAGACTGGATCACTAAACCTTAATTATACTTCCTTGTGGAAGTGCACACTGACAGCAGCAGACACCAAAGAAGCAAATTAGGTAATAGATCACTTTCTCGTCCACTTGGACTCTGCTTCGAGGAATCCATTCCATATCTGCACAGTAGATCAGCGTCTGTCTATTCTGTACATGCACACTACCTCCCTTGTAATGTGACTGCTGCTTCAGTGAAACCTATTTGTGTACAGATGAAGATCAAGGCACTTACTGACAGAAAGGTGGTTGTATTGGTCACTGAACATTTTTGAAAGACCAAAAATGTTATTTATCATTTTGTGTTACGAATTTGTCCAACTTTTAAAAACCCATGTATATTCAGGGGGTGGACAAAGTATTATTTGTACACCACCTATTATGAGGATTAACCTTTTTCTGACAATGTCAACAAAAACTTGAAGGATTTATGAAAGTACAATGTATGGCAGAGCTGCTGTATTGGATTGCATTAGATTTCACAGGTGTGCTTAGTATGTCAACTGAGTGTATGTACTCTTGACAAACATTTTGAGCTGGCTGAGAGCATTGCATTTGTTCAACAATGAATTGACTTCTGAGGAGTATAATTTGCTAATAATTGTGCAAACAGTGTACTATAACATTAACAGAATGAAAAGAAGCTTCTTACATGTTACACTCTGTCCCCTGTAGAGAATCCCCTTCACTGGATCAATCCATGGCGGTCTGCAGGAGGGGAAGTCTATTAGCATCAGCGGACGAGTCCTGCCTGGAGCAGACAGGTTAGACTACTCGGTTCTTTATTTCTAAGCCTTTACTGACAACATTTGTGAAAGGGCTATAAAATATAACATTTTATAAAACATGCTTTTCTGAACTTCGTGATCCAACTAAAGAAAATTTGATTGTAGTCTTAGCTTCACTCTCACTATACACAGTGTACTACAGTGTATAGCTTGTTTCAAAGGTGTACAGTGGAATACGACCATACCCTCTCCTACTTATTACGACCAATACTATCTCTATGCTTTTGTTCTTAGTAATTTCATTACATTCTAAGATTTTATGTCCCAAAAGGTTCTGAAAATAGGACCTAAGTCCAGAGATGGCAGACAGGTTGTGACAAAAAAATAAATAAATAAATAAAATAAAATAAAATAAAATGTAATCAATGTGGAGACTTGATAGAGCCGCACATTCGAGAGAAAACAAAATTGTAGAGTTTAATCTAAGCTGTTTCAAGGCAGGAAAGGAATATTTTTGTGGGAAAAAATGTTTAATGTATAACTTTGATACGCAGACATAAGTTTTAAGGAATTTAATGAAAAACTGGAGACAGACTCAAACGCATTAAAATTACCCTGTTGAGTTCGACATGGTATAGCTAACAACATTTAGTATCCATCCTCAAAATGGTGGCGTGTAACCTTGAGGTATACCACAGTGAATGTATTCACTTCCTTCAAAAACGTATGCAGAATCTAAATCTTCTCAGCTGCTCTGGACCGTATCACATGATCTTCATCAGCACATGGCATTTTTTCAGTTTCATCTGTATGTGAACAACGACATGTACTCTTCATGTGCTTTTATTATAAAGTGTATATCCCTCAACTGTACAAAAGTGAAGCCAAAATATCTGAGACATAGCTGCTGTTATCTTACCCTACTGATGTCATTTGCAACCGGTGTGGGCAGTAGTGAAACTCCAGAGGGCTTCTGAGATGATTATTTTTTCCAAAACAAAAAACAAAGTCATTAAGCTACATCTTGGCCATTTTTACACAATTTCCTCTATAAAAAGTCAAATGAGGACAGTGTTTTGCACATCATTATTTGATGACTGTTGTTTTTCTGCAGGTTCCATGTGAATTTACAGTGTGGTTCAAGGACCGGTGCAGATGTTGCTCTCCACATTAACCCGCGCTATGACAGCCACCCTTATGTGGTCACCAACACCTTCCAGTATGGCAGCTGGGGCTCCGAAGACAGGAAGCACAACTCTCCATTTCCTGCTGGATCTCCCTTCAGCTTGCTTGTCACTGTCTCCCGGGAATCCTACCAGGTCTGTAAGGCCAACTTGTCTGACAATTTAAAAATGACAGGTCTAGAATTTTAACGCAAGCAGGTTTTATTTCACTACATTTCCAATTCCTTTTTAAAAAAAAAAAAAAAAAAAAAAAGGAATTACTTTTATGTGTCTCTTTTAAGTGAGCAGAAGTTCATTTAAAGAGTTGTTTCTTTATTGTTTTTCCTGCGAGTAATATCTAAAACACTTGTGGCAATTTCTGTTAGCCAGAGCGTTAAGTCAAAACTTTTCTATTTCACAATTTTTGTCTAAATTGAGTTCAGAATCTATAGATGGACTTACATACACAGTCAAATGAAGGAGTGAGTGGAATGATTAACAAGAGAAGGAAAACAATGTCTTTAATACAGCAGATGTTTAGTAAGCTGGTATGTCAGTGTCTTTAGAGACAGCACATTGACTATTTCTCAACCTTGCACATTCTTTCAGATAGGAAATAATTTATCTCTGTGAAACAGTAAAAGCTAACATTGCTCGACAAATTATACTAGGAAGGTTATTCTGATACTTTTTACAACTCCTCCAAAAGCTATTATTTGTCTGCAAAAATATTTTTCTGCCCTTCGAAAAAAGAGACACAAATATAATTGTGTCTTTGTTCTTGCCAGCTGACCGTCAACGGCATCCACTTCATGGAGTACAGACACCGCATCCCATTTCAGCAGGTGGACACCATCGTAGTAGCCGGGAAAGTGGAGATTACCTCCATTGCCTTCCAGAATGCTGCGGTAAGGAAGCATCATCACACAGCATCTAACATAGCAACTTCCATACTTTGTTCATTACATTAATTGTAGCAACTAAAATAAATGTAAGAACAGCACAGTATGGCATTTGTTGTGTTTCATATACTGTATGTCAGTGGTCAAATTACAAATATTCTTGACCATCAGAAATGAGTTAACATGTATAATACATGAGCAGACAGAAAGAAATGTCTATGAGATTCAGTGTTTTTTGTTTTTAATTCCCTGCACAGCCGGCATTCCCTGCTCAGCCTGCATTTCCTTCACAAGTAGCCTACCCCACCCAAGGTGCCTTCCCTTCTTGTCCAGCATTTCCCTCGCAGCCTGGATTCCCTGGTCAGCCTGGATTCCCTGGTCAGCCCGGATTCCCTGCGCAGCCTGGATTCCCTGGGCAGCCTGGATTCCCTGCACAGCCCGGATTTCCTCCTGCAATGCCTGTGAGCATCAGACAGGCTAAAACAATAGTTCTAAAGACACTTTACACAGCCACAACCCTATTAGCTGAGTAACAGTGTTAGTTCCCAGACATTCAAAAAAGCATCGTAGATCAGTATCTTAAACTTTAGCAACTTTGTTTGGTCTTCAAGATTTTTCTGTTTCTTTGTCACCACCACACACGGTTGTTAAAATTATTTCCAGCTGTGAAAGTCTCCAAATTCCTTTGTCCATTGTGGGAGAAAAGTGTTCCCAGATAAAACAAAACAAAAAAAAAGCAGAGCAACTGCAACGTTTGGCTTGAAAAGTTGCATCTCACTATGTTGTCATTGTCTACATCATCATAACATCAAAAGTGAGTTGGTACCAAGTCTGACAGAAGTCTAACCAGCTTGCATTGGACGGCAATCACAGGCAAATCCGTCCAAGTCTGGCTCGTCTGTACCGACATTCAATCCACCTTCCAGTGTGGTGATGTCATAGCAAGTACATTTGATTTCCTTTTTCAAAGGCAAACTGTGTCACTGAATAAAGTGACAGAAGAGCAGCAGTTTATGGTCTTTGGTCTCTAAATGCTACAGGAATGGCTTTTCAATGTATTTATTAAATGCATTTTTCTATCCCATCTCTGTACAGGCTGTTCCATACAGAAACTTCATCAGTGGTGGACTCAGGCCTGGCAGAACCATTACAATCCAAGGGACTGTTCACCCCAATGCTACAAGGTCTGATCGAATTATCAGTTTCACTTTGAAACCAGCACTATAGAAATTAAATATAAGCTTACACCTCAAGATTGAGGACAATTTGTAGAGTGGTTTAAAAAAAAAGGTATTCTCAAGCATGACCACACTATCAGTGAAATGCATCTGACTGTTTAGTAAGGGGGAATGTGCATGATCATTCACAACATTAAAACTACTGACAGGAGAAATGAGTAATGCTAACTAGCTTGTCACAGTGTGATTTTATGCTGGGAAACCTTTAGTCCTACATTCATGGGGATGTTAGACATGTACCACTGACAAACATTGTTGCAGACCGAAAGTAAGCAAACCCCTGTTATACGCCGCTTAATCCTCACTGGGGTCACGGGGGGGCTGGAGTCTATCCCAGTTGACTTAGGGCGAAGGCAGTGGACACCCTGGACAGGTCACCAGTCTATCACAGGGCTACACTTAGAGACAGACAACCAAGCACACTGACAGTCACACCTACGGACAATTTAGAATCACCAATTAACCTCAGAGAGGTGAGAACCCACGCTGCATGGGGAGAACATGCAAACTCCACACAGAAAGATCCTGGGTGTCCTCACCGGGACGCGAACCGGCGACCTTCTTGCTGTGAGGCAGTGGTGCTAACCACAGAGACACCTTGCAGCCCAGGGCAGAGACATTTATGTTCATATAGGTGGACCAAGTGAGGAAAGAAAGAGCTGCCGTAAGGAATGGTGTGCAAGGCGAAATCAGGTGTCCCTGAAGGAGGATCAGTTTGGCACAGAAGACGTTAAGATGAAAGTAGTGGAGCATGAGATGATTAGTGTTATGCTGACGATTTCCAGGTCAAGCCATTTTCTTTCAAAAATGAAGGCCAAGTTTGGAGAAAACAGACTTCAGGGTGGTTAAACCATGAGCTGAAGGGGGCAAATGAGGGGACACAACTGGGAAAAATAAAGGAGATGCACTAGATACATAGTTATGAGTACTGGTTAGAATTTGAAGCAGCACAGTCGCACATTGGTGAACATTGTTGCCACACAGCTAGGTCCTAGGTTTGAAGGGAAAATTGTACAAGAAAAATGCCCTGCACGGTCTTTGCAGGCATTGTACAAGGACTGAGGGACTAAAATATTCTGCATCTGTAAAAGTGAGACAGTCCTGTGAATAACTTACCTTTAAAAAAAGCAGTCATGCAAGACACCCTCATTGTTACAGACTGATCCAGAGACTCAAGTGCGAGGCAACAGAACACGGCAAGCAGGCAGGTTGATAAAACAAAGGGTTTATTTATACACACACAGGAATAATGTACAAACTCAAAATATTGCTGGCAGGGCAAACTATGCCTACTAGTGGTCAGGCTGAACAAATGAGACTACTTGGTAAAGGAGTCTGGGAGGCGGACGCCGGGGTAACCAGGGAGAGGAAAGCGAGCGGAGCTGGTGCCGGTGGATGGATGGAGCTGTAGCTGAGGAGTGGTGACAGAATGGACGAGCTGAAGAGAAGGGACAGGTGGCAGGTAGGTGGGGGAGAATCCGTTTCCTTGTGGCAGGAGTTGCCGGCTGACGGAGTGGCTTGGTGATGGTGGCAGATGATCCGGGCTGCAGACGGAAAGAGACACAATTAGCTTGCAACCGACAAGAAAGGAGCTGAGAATAAACAATCGAGTCAGAACTGACTGAGGACTGTTTACAGTCCAGCAACGAGTTATGGACTAAGCGCGGCTTAAATGCTGGTCTGTGGACGAGGCACAGCTGCAGCCAACACACGCCTGCGTCATCAGCAGATTGGGATCACCTGCCCGTCCTCTTCAGTCACTGCACCAGCTCAGGCCCACCTAAATAGAGAGGGAAAGGGAGAGCAAGGAAGGAGGAGAGGGAGGAAGAGAGAGAGGACTGGCCCTGGCGGCAGTGGGCGTGACACTCATGTTGTGCCATGTTGTGTTTCCTTCCAGGTTCCATGTGAATCTTAGTCATCAGTCTGGTATTGCTCTGCATTACAATCCCCGTTTCAATGACAATGCTGTGGTTCGAAACACCAAGACGTGGGACAAATGGGGCTCTGAAGAGCGTGGTGGAGGGATGCCCTTCTACCGGGGACAACCTTTCACGGTACGCCTGACTGCACACATTGACCAGCTGAAGGTTGAGTAACACTGACAATAGGCACTGGGCTCCAAAAACATACTTTGTATGTCTCAAGTATATACATTTCTTTCAATCTGACACTGCATTTCCCCACCAATACATCCATCAAGTTTGGAGTGAATTGATTGTATGGTTGTTGAGGTGCAGTCATCAACAAAAGTTTACTTACACTTGTAAAGACCATATATGTCATAGCAGTCTGGAGTTTATTTATTTATTTTAATAACTTGATTTTCTATGATGGAATCTTAGAGACACATGCATCTTTGTCACAAAAAACATGAATTTAGATTTTTTTTTATCGATCAGTATATGTCTTCTAAAAATTTACAAAGTGTGCTGGATCGAACATACACATACAGCAACTTGAATGATCAGTTTTAGTATTATAGAAGCTGTGTTAATCACATTTTTTAGTGGCTTGACCTCCTAACTTCTTGTGAGTGTTTACAATTAAATACAGCTGTTGACTTCTGTGAGCTAATTTAATCCTATTCAGGATATTTGGACCCCAGGCCATTTGGTTTAGGTGACAGGTATTGTTTTTTTGTGTTGTTTTTTTTGAAGATTGTTTTTTAAGTACAAAAACAGAGACATTTGTCATGCATTTGGAACCAAAAATACGTCAACTTATCAGAAAACAATTTAACATAGTATAAAAGTCTATAATGAATACCAACAAATATTTTGCACATATTCTTTCTTGGGGTCCAATGGACCCCCAAAAGACCTTTTATGTATGGCAACATGAAAGTCCTGAATAGGGTTAAATAGGGTCCACTAATTGGTCTCAGCTGCAAACGCTACAATGGATGTTGAATTGCACCGTTTCAGTCAAGAGGAGTGGTCAAAGATACAACCAAAAGCTTGCCAGAAGCTTGTGGACGGATATCAAAAGCACCTAGTTGAGGTGAAAATGGCCATGGGACTTTTAACAAAATATTGGCATTGCTGCATGTATATTTTTGACCCAGGAGATAATGACATTTTTCTAGAAGACCTCTAATAAATCTATGAAAGAACCAAAATGTAGGGTTTTTTTGGGACCTGTGTTTCAAAGATTCCATCATAGAAGAGTAAACACTATTGGTGTCATTAAAAAGACATGCCATGATATACCTGATCTTTAAAAGTGTATGTAGACTTTTGTTCATGACTCTATGCAAAGAACTTTTATGGTACACTGCTTTCTGGACAGAAGTCACACATGTATTAGAGCCTGTGTGTGTGTCTCAAGTGATAGTAACAGTTTTCAAATGTTTGATTGCAAAATGATCTTCATTTCTTTCAGTTGACCATCTGCTGTGAGAGTCAGTCTTTTCGAATTGTGGCCAATGGAATGCAGACACACAACTACAAGCATCGTTTCAATCAGCTCCAGAGCATTACCAGCCTGGAGATTGAAGGGGACGTCAGTCTGACATCTGTGAATGTGTAGAGATTCAAGACCTATAGCTCGTGACGCCTTACAACGCGGTTTCCCGACTGTAATCATTACAGAACACAGTTATGGGTCGTTCCATATAACATCAACCAAAGTTAAAAAAGGTTCCCATCTGATTCCCTCAGAATCAGCTTAGTTTGTGTGTACAATAACGCTAGTATATTGAATTAAGTTATGCGGAAGTTTATCTCTATTCTACTACTAGCACAGAAGAGACATACAATTTTCCGGGCCAAAAACACATTTGAAGTCTGTTATAAATATAAAAACCCATTTCAGGTTTCACAGTCAAAAGTAAAAATCTCATTTTTGTTCAGCATGGTTTTTTTTTTTTATACACACTTTAAATGTTAGTATCATGGACTATATCATAGTTTTAATAGCAAAACTGTACCAGTTTAATGTCTATGACACAACAATGGAAACGAGCATCGGTCTGCTGAATGTGTTCTTTTTTTCCGCTAATCTTTTAAAAAATTATGATTTTTTTGTTAAAACCTAAAGAGTCCTATCACCATGTGGGATAAGTAGTTTGTCAAAACAAGTTATAGCAGATAAAAGGTCTCATTTGAACCTACATTTCTATCAGTATTGTCTTGTAACAACTGGTGCTCTGTATCGTTGAGACCAGGGGACACTGTGTTCCCCGTCATGCTCCCTGGGGTCATGTAAAGGTCAGACTCAGGATCTACATGGTTGATTCCCTTCCACGGCACACCAGTCTGGCACTCAAATATGGCTGATCTTCTAGCCATGATTGTGTCTGTGTCAAAATAATTTGTAATGTAGGGCACAAAAATGTGGTCATGCCAATTAAAGCGCAAGATTTCAATCCAGTCCTCTATACTTAATGGACCTGTAACTATATTTATAGTATGAAGATAAAATTTTGCATGGCTTTGTCAAATATACTAAATGCATTGTGTGTATATATATAAAAACAGCTGATTCTGAGGGTTTTTATTTTTTTTTAATGGAATGACTCATTGCATTTATTAATGACTTCATGCAAATTGATTACTTTGGCTATGTATTGGATATTGTATATTCACCACCTGCTCATATTACAAATAATCATTCTCATTATTATATGCATATATACTCACACTGCACAATCATCACTGAGATACAAGGAAACAAGACAAGACAATTGAGAAAAACTAAGTACACGAAAACAGCAAATCAAATTTTTTCAACTTATAGTAACTTTTGGATTTCATAGGACAGCAGATTGGATTTTGCTAACAAAGTGAAAAAAAAAGGAAGTGTCAACAGTTACCAGTACAGTATAAGAGTCGATAATAATGTGCTAACTTGCCTCTGAAATGTGTAATCATTAATGCTTTATGAAACATACAATTAAAATATCGTATAAAAAATGTGTTGATGAATTATTTATTGCTAGAACCTGATTAGATAAAAGGTAAGAAAAATTAACTTCAGAGCTACTTTTAGAACTGTAGCTATAAACACATTTGTTAAATGCCTTACAATGCACTGCAAATATCCTGGGAATAAACAACATGTTCTTTTGGTCCACAGTGTGATTGTAGACTTAAGGAACACACCTTGGGGCTTTGAACTGAATATGAATATATGTTTAATGTGCTGGTTGTGGTTAGAACGAACCACAAACTGCAGCTCAGGCTGCATAAACCAAAGCACTGGAAAAACTAACATTTTGACTGGATGAAGGTTACCCCAAGACGAACAGGATTATCTGTACCCAATGCCATGTCAGTCCGACTAGTTCATATGTTTTATAAAACCACAAATACTAACCAATCATGATGGTGCTAGAGGAAAGGTCAGAATATTTTTCTAGAAGACCTATAATAAATCCAATAAAGAACCAAAATGCAGGTGCTTTGGGACACAAATGCACGTTTTAATCATTCCATCACAGAAAATTAAGAGTTGTAGGAGTCATTGGAAACTCAAGACTGCGATGATGTACATGGCCTTTACTTGCACTTTTGTTCACAATTGTATACTAGTATATTGTCACACCAAACCCACATGGCTATTGGCCTCTTTATCACCCAAGATTCTCATGGCTGAAGGTGTGAATGACTGTGAAACTGCTAAGTGAGGGATGACTCAAGATGATAATGGCAAAACTTTCTGGGGAGCGATATCAAGACTACATATTAAGGATTGGATAATTGGTGTTGTAGACCTGCCTTCTCTTTTTTGATGTGGCTGTTCCACTTAAACATAGATGGCTTCCTTCGCTCCTCTCTCATTTCTTTGTCCAGAATTGGGGGATACATTGGGGGAGTAAATTAGCCGCACTGAACTCACTTTATATTCCTGCAAAACTTTAACAGCATGAAGGTGTGACAGTGAGAACCCACTCTGTCCCCCAGCCTTAATGTCTGCTCCTGTCTTTCATATCCTGGTACTGATCACTAACAGCTCCCGTATCAATCATTCTAACTCATGTACAGAAATTTTAATATTCATAATTCAAATTTGCATGTGAACCCATCTGTGACTCTGGGAAAATCTGATAAAGCCATTACTTTCAAATCCAGATACGGCCTAGGTTTGAGACAAAGCCTGGGCACTGGCAAGTCATACAGTTAAAGCAGCCCACTGGCTGGCTTTTAGGCTCAGAAATAAATGCACATCCTCCTTAAGAAAACGCAAAAGCATACTATCACATTGAACTGATCTCCATCTCCTGTACAAATCCGTCAAAATTCTCTGTCAAAAAATATTTGACACTTTCATCTCACACTTCGCTGCTGCTGGGACTCAGTTCAACATGACGTATTCAGGTTCTTGTCTTGGCATTAGGCAGTCTCCTTGAGTGCCCTCTGTACACCGTTCTTCAAGCTCCCAGTTCCCTCTACAGGCCTCCACTCCCTCTGCTGTCAGAGCCACAAGCTCTGGATCCCAGGAATACACTTGGGGAATATAAACTGGATCGATTCTTTTAAAAGCTTTGTGCCCCAATCACTGCTGAACAAATTACATATTTATTTAATCTTTCCATCTCGACCAGACTGGTCTCTCAGGTCTGGAAATCAGTGCACATTGTCCCACTGCCTAAACGTGAGGATACAGTGTTTCCTCTACATTCATTTAGGAGTGGCGGGCCGCCATTCCTAAATCCTAGCCGCATCCTTCACATTTATTATTAGTATTTTTTTTTTTTTTATTGTCTTAAATACACACAACCGCATGTCTCCACCTTCACAGCAGAGTCCTGCACCGGGTCAGGCACTCGCGAGTACTAAGGTCAACTACAGCTAACTATCTTGCTCAGTCTCTACTCTTTAGGGGGTTAATACGACGTTAATTACTGGCAAGTACTAAGGTAAAGAACAGATAACTCTCTGATCAGTATCTACTCTTTGGGGGTTAATACAATTGCTCGCGAGACCACGGCCTTTAAAGTGACGCTGTTTATTCCGCTCATAGAAAAGACTGCACGAGGAAAAATCACTCGGTTTCGTCTTGGACAAATCTGACATTAGAACGCCCTAGTTAACTCTTTTTATTTATTTTTTTAAACTTCATTTTTATTTTCCATTTTTCACACAACAAAACAACAACAAAACATAATAGACCAGATATTTGGTCACCTATTCAGCCACACGATACTTTACTGTTGGAATTATAAGACATTGACTCACTATATACAAAACACACCTTATGATGACAAACACAATCCATTTTTTCCAGTACCTCAAGAATTTGTCAGTTCTTAGATTTAGTGAGAAGGTAATTATCTCCATACTTTGAAGATTTGCAACCAAGTTCCTCCACTCAGTCTCTGCAGGAGGGACGGACTGCAACCACTTACATGTTACAGCTTTCTTGCTGACAGCGAGTAAGATCTTTAACAAATATTTGTCCTGCACCAGCAAGTTGGCATCAATATTTTCCAGATAAATTGTAGGAAAAGACCAGTCAATTACATCCCCAAACATTTTCTGAATTATACATGTTATCCTCTGCCAGTATGGTTGGATGACTGGGCAGCTCCAAAATATGTGAAAATGATTTGCCAACTGCTCTCCGCATCCCCTCCAGAATCGACCTCTACCCTTATCACCAGTCTGAATAGATTGTAACTTTGGCGTTATAAAGTATCTGGTCAAATTTTGCCAACAGAATTGTCTCCATACACCTGAATTGGTGGAAGTAGACTGTACAGAGCACATATTCAACCAGTCATCTTCTGTAATAACAAGTCCACTTTCCTTCTCCCATTTCAATCTAATCTTATTTGTGGAGTGTTTCTCCTAGTTAACTCTTTTTAAAGTAATTTTTGGTCGCATACCGGTCTGAGCACCGCAGCCACAAACAGCATCCCCCTCAGCCTGGGGCATGTTCTGGGAACATCGTAAATTGTAGAGTCTATCAATAAGAAAATGTTCAGCAGGTCATGTGTTTTACCTGAGACAAGCTGAGAAGTGTGAACAAATTAGAAAGTTGGTTAAAAAAACTGATTAAAAAAAAAAAAAAAAAAAGACAGAGAGAGAGTTGGACTTCCATGTGGCGTGAGCGTTGTTCGGTAAACGTTTACATATACAGTGACATATGGCGTGGCTCTAAACACTGTTCATTGTACAAAATAGCTGGCTGGCCATCCTTAGCAGTAAGGCAAGGCATACATTGTCTGCTATTTATTCTTAAAGCACTGAATAGCAAAAGCAATACATTTACTTGCTAGTTAAATTGGTACCACAATCACCATTCAACTCGTTCAAGTGATTGGTTAATGCTGAAAATTCTGCATGCTGGTCATGGAATAGTAAAACTTGTTTTGAGCTTTTCTGCTTCACACACTTGAAACATTTTGCTGCTAACATTGAAGCCTGGTATGACTGTATCTGTTGCTCAGTTTAAATCCATGATCACAAACTACATTTCTTCTAAATGTGACTGCTTTTAACTGTATTGTCTGGTTGAATGTTGCCTTTCTACTCTGTTGGCTGTACTCAACATCATTGTGAATGAAGGCATCCCTCAATGATTCCTTGAGATTTAAACAAAGATTGAATAAATAATTGAACAATTACATATCTGAATGCAAGTGTAGTCGGATTCTGTGAGCACTGCACTTTTCCATTGGGATCAAGGACAAGTGTTTAGCAGAAAGCATACGCTAAATTTGTTTAATTGATATAGTTTACATATATGATTGCACCGCAACCAGGTATACATGGGGGAGCTGATTAGTCAATGGGGAGCAGATGAAGTGAGTGTTGTTGCCGGTGACTGGGTACAGATTGACAGATCGAGAACCTCAGGTGGGTGGAATGGGTGATGAAAACAAAAACAGAAGTCTGAGCTAAACTTTGGTAATATACGATATACTGTATGTTAAATCTTAAGTGTTACTAAGTTAACAGTTCATACCTGACCATGCATGAGCAGCAGCACAATCTCAAGTTAAAAAGATCGTCCATGGAGATACTCTCACAAGGACATTCTTACGAAACTGATTGCTTTTTGTCAGTAATGTTGGTAAGTACAAGTTGATATTGATGGATCATAAATAGACCCTTTCATTCACCTGAATTAAGCACTATCCCGTGCCATGTAATGTGCTTTTTGGTGTAATGTATGAACACAATAACTGGTTGTAAGGGTCTAAGAATTTTATTTTCTACAGCACCATTAATATCACCTGCTAGCATGTCACAGGCAGTATGTCACAAATCATTTATTCACTGTTTTGTGGATTAGTCTCAAAAAACATGAAATCAATTAGAAAGCAGGCTCCTATCATCACAGCCTTTATCTTAACATCCAGGTCCATTGGAAATGAGATGCCAAAGTTATCTGCATCTGTGAAGCCTTCCTGCATGAAGCCACCCCACTGCTTACTGATCTGCCCCACCACCGCTGACTCATCCAAAGACATCACCTCAAAGATCACGTCAGACATGCACCTACAGTCACAGCATGGCCCCTTGATCTTCAACTGGGGTGTCCTCATGTCATTTAGGATGGTAAACTTTGGCAGGAAGGGGTGCCAATTCTGCTCCACGTAGCCTATGGGATTTCCAGGAGGGCTCTGAACCTCCAGCTCTTGCAGGCAGCAGGGAAAGCAGCACGAAGTGCAATTTAGGGGGCGGATTAGTGTCAACACTTCCTGTCCCATGTTATCATGAAGATGAATGGTGAAAGGTCGAGAGGGCCCACACGCTTGCATGGTGAAGATGTCATTTTCCTCTGTAGCCACAAACACCTGCTGCCCAAGACTATTCTTTACTGTGTAAACATTGTTCATCTCCCAGCCAATAACCATTTCAGCCACATTGACTCGCTGGTGGACTAAGATCTGGTTGATCTGAATCAGGTACTCCAGTCCCGGTGGACAACCTGCAGGTCGATCAGGGGAAGGCATCAGTATGGG